CTAAAAGCAGTAGAATAGTAGCTAAAAGGAGCAGAATGGAGGCTAAACGCATTAGAACAGTAGCTAAAAGGGCCAGAATGGAGGCTAAAAGCAGTAGAACAGTAGCTAAAAGGGCCAGAATGGAGGCTAAAAGCATTAGCACAATAGCTAAAAGGGCCAGAATGGAGGCTTAAAGTAGTAGAACAGTAGCTAAAAGTTAAAAGTAGTAGAATGGAGGCTAAAATTGGCAAAATTGTAGCTAAAACGTAGAATAGGATAACTGTAGCAAAAAACAGAAATAAGAAAAACAGTTTCTAAAGACAAAGTCTAAAAAAGTTAAATCTGGTCCTCTGGACATTAAAAAAAAAACAAACAAAGCAAATCACCAAAAAAATGTAGAAACGTTTCGTCTCTCGTCCGTTTCGTTTCTCGGACGAGAGACGAAACGTTTCTACATTTTTTTTGGTGATTTGCTTTGTTTTTTTTTTGAATGTCCCGAGGACCAGATTTAACTTTTTTAGATTTTTCTACCTGGATTATTGAGCATGCATCAGGATCTAAAGACAAAGGTTACTAAAACTGTAGCTAAACTCTTAACATTTTTAAAAAATAATAGCTAAACCCTAAAAAAAGCATGAGAAAACACTTGAGCTGTGAGTAAATGTGCTGAAGTGTACAGCCAGCCCATACGATGGAAAACAATAATGTGAATGCTGAACACAATAAAAGTAATTTTAATATAAAATCAAATCCATGTGTGACAAACAGTTTGAGATGGTGGACATCGAGGGTCCACAGTGCCCTAATTCACATATTCTGCACCTGAACAGTTCATATTTGACTCAGCAGTGAATAGTTTTCATTCTTAGTTGTAAAAGTTTCTTCTAAATTCATGACTTGGTAAGAATAAAACAAAACAAATTTCTCAAGGAAACACTTTTCTTCACTTTGTTCATATTTATTTTTAAAACAAATCTGTTAAAAATGTATATAATTTATGTATTTATATTAGATGAAAAGCTTTTAAAAAAAATCTTTCTAACTGTATATTTCCTGCAAAAACGTGATTTAAAACCTGTAGATTATTCAGATGTTTGTTTGTTTTTTTCATTTTTTATATCTGTCAGTACCAAGTCTGACCAGCAGGGGTCACTAGCAATCAATCAAAAACAGGACAATTAACTTCCAGCTCTCCAGTCTGGACTCCCATTCTGTTCACCACAGGCCTGGTACCTGGGCTCCTGCAGGGTGGAGCGCCTCCTCCTGTCCTGGGTGAACCTCCTCTGCTTGGCCAGGAAGGACTGAGGAGGTCCAGGATCTGCAGGGTCCTCAGACAGGCTGTGCTGCTGGAAGAAGCAACCAAAACAAACCAAGCATCGAGTTTTTTTCTAACATTTACCAAATAAATCAAGATTTTGACCGTGTCTAACCCTTTTCTTGGACCCGTATCACTTGTATGAGTAAATACTCGGAATTAAAAAAATGTTAAAATTTAAGAAAATGTAGGTGGAACGCTCCAAAAAACAAAACCTCGGTTCGGTCACTGTGGGAGGAGGTGTGAGAATTTACTGTAGCTCATGAGAAAACTGGGTGGACCAAAATTTACCAGAATTCTTTGAGTGGTTTTAAAGTGAGACTTTGATTTCTAATATTTACATACGACTGACCTCTTAACACCAAACAGCCTCCAACATGACTAAGACTGATATTATTTTATCTGAGCAGCCACATGTTTGATTCAGCAACACACAGCCGAACACAAGCTGCTTCACTCCTACAGCTCGCTTCACACGCTTCTTACAAATAGTTAACTCTCGTAGTTTGAGTGTTTTTAGTTGTTGCTGTTCTCACCAGGTGGTTCCAGGCAGTCAGGATCGGGTTCTCATCTTCTTCCTGTCTCGATTTAGTCTTTTCACTCTGCGAGTCATACGGCTGCAAAGTTTAAAGTCTCATGTTATCCATTTAAGACGTTTACATTTTCTGCTAAAAATGAATGAAGAGTGCTGAATCACTTGGATAGAGTTTGCTGAAGAAGCTAAAAATAGGCACTAGCACACTGGCTAAAAGTAGCAGAACAACAGCTAAAATCCCCAAGGAGAGGAACGCTAGCTAAAAGCTAAAAGAATTCAACACAAACTAAAAGTTCAAAAGAAGCATTATCTAAAGTCTAATGATGGTGGAAAAACTAGCTAAAAGCTTAAAGTATTAAAAGACTAGGTAAAAGAAGATGAACAGTAGCTAAAAACTAAAAGGTGAAAATGGCTAGTTAAAAGTTAAACATAGCAAAACCCCTGGCAAAAGGTAAAATTTCCTAAACTAGCTAAAAGCTAAAATGAGCAAAAGATTAGCTACAATCCTAACGCTTCTAGCTAATGCCAGACATAGGAAAAAACAAAAAGTAAGTAAAAGCAGCTGAAAGCCAGTTAAAAGCTAGCTAAACGGTGCAGAATGGTAGCTAAAAGTTAAAACTAGATAAAGGCTAGTTCAGAGCTAAATATATCAAAAACCTTGGAAAAAGGTAAAATCACCAAAAGCATATGTAAAAGCTAAAATAACAAAATTGTCACCAAAGGTAAAAATAACAAAAGGCTATAGCTACAAGCTAAAATGAGTAAAACACTAGTTAAAAGCTAAAAGTAAAAAAAAGGCTAACTAAAGGGTAAACGTAGCACAACATTAGCTAAAACCTAAAAGTAGCAAAAGAGTATCTGCTAAAAACTAAAAGTAGAAAATGGCAAGGTAAACACTGAACAAAACTCAAAAGGTAAAATTTACTAAACTAGCTAAAAGCTAAAATGAGCAAAATATTAGCGAAAATCTTAATACTATGCTAGACATAGGAAAAGACAAAAAGTTAATAAAAGCAGCTGAAAGCCAGTTAAAAGCTAGCTAAAAAGTGCAGAATGGTAGCTTAAAGCTAAAACTAGATAAAGACTAATTCAAAGCCAAACATATCAAAAGCCTTGGAAAAAGCTAAAATCACCAAAAGCATCTATAAAAGCTAAAAGAGCAAAATTGTCACAAAAGGTAAAACTAACAAAATGGTAGCTACAAGCTAGTTAGAAGCTAAAAGTAAAAAAAAAAGACTAACAAAATGGTAAAAGAACAACAACAGTAGCTGAAAGCTAAATTGTAGCTAAAAACTAAAAGTAAAAAAAAAGGCTAGTTCAAAGCTAAAACTAGCAGAATGGTAGCTAAAATTGTCCAAAGGGAGCAATGCTTGTTTGGTTAGGAGGGGATATATTTGTAAATAAGTTAATAATTTAAACAAGCACAAAAGTCAGATTAAGTGAAAGCCACAACACCAATCTGAACGAGCCGAAGGTTTTGATGGATGAATGGTTAAAACATGAACTGTTGACACGGTGGCCCAACAGAACCCAGGAGCTGTGGAGCTGCAGGCTCGCTCACCTCTGAAGCAGCTGCCTTCATGGTTTCACACTGACCGGCCCGTTTGTTGCAGCTCATTGTTCCGACAGAAGAAAATGCTCAGATCCAAGCTGAATATGACCAGAACAGACGTGCACGGCAGCGGCCCTGTGACCTGCCCCGGCTGTCTGCAGCTGATGGCCACATTCTGCTGCAGAGCCACTGGTTTTTGTTTTGCTGCTGACGGAGAACAATATGGAGAGGGGCTGCGAGCGCTCCTCTCCTCAGTCAGAGATGCCATCCTGCTCATCCTGCTGACTGCGACACATTCTCTGTTTGGCACCACGCAGCAGATTAGTGCTTAAATACGGAGAGACAACGAAATTATCTCGACGACAGATAATCTGAGTTTTAATTTTGGTCAAATAGAGGTGGAAAAGCCCGGAGTGATGTGAAATCAAACGCTTTGATTCAAAGATTTAGTTAAAATACAAGAAGTTGTTTTATCACAACCATACTGCAGTTTATTGTAATTGCTCCAAAAAGTGTGCGTGTGTACCTGTTAGCAAAATATCTAATAAACCACTTAATCACTGCTTTTACTTCTACAGCTCCTAAACATATGGATATATATTAAGATGGTCGCCACAGCAGCCGACACAAAACCTGTCGATTGGAATGAACTCCGATTTGAGGTGATAGTAGCTGAGAGTCATCCTTGTAGTAATTTTGAGAGCGAACACACTTCAGGCGATCGTTTCGACTGAGATCAATGCCTGAAAAGACGATAAATATAAGATGCAGTAGAACAGTTTTGCGCTGAAGGTGTTTTCACGAAGATTTATGAGTTACGTTGCATTTTTTAAATGTTTTTACTGAGTCACTAGCAGTTTCAGTGACCCAGATGTTGTGTAGTTCCCCCACTTCTGGTCTGACCAGCTTCAAAGACCAGCAGTATCTGCACATCAAAGAATAAACATGGCTGCGGCCGTCCGTCGACTCAGCTATGGTTGTTTCTTTTGTCAGAACACTAATTTTTGTCGTCTAGAGTCAGTTTTAACAAAGGTCAATCTGTTCCAGTTTTAGTGCTGGCTTCAGGGGAAACCAGGTTCATGCTTTTGTCATTAAGTGTGAAAACACAAGTTGTGGGGGAGGATTTCACAGAACTGCGTCTTTCTCTGGAAGCAGGAGGACTGAGGTCAGCAGGAAGGCTTACTGAAACTCAGCTCTACCCTGCAGCTCCTCACAAAAACCATCAAACCAAATTTACCACGCGGCCTTGCAAAGCGCCCGTGCTTGGCGT